GGGAGGGCAGACTTGATGTGGTGCATGACTAGCCGTTCAAAGCACTTCATGAGGATAGGGGTAAGTGCAACTGGACGGTAGTCATTGAAGCAGGATGGAGACGACTTCTTCGGGACTGGAATGATGGTGGTGGCTTTGAAGCATGTGGGGACAACAGCCTGGCTTAGCGAGATGTTGAAAATGTCTGTGAAGACATCAGTGAGTTCCACTGCACAGTCTCTCAGTACACGCCCAGGAATGTTGTCAGGACCCGGAGCTTTGCGTGCATTGATCCTGCTGAGGGATCTCCTCACGCTGTCCGGGGACAGCGTCATCACCTGGTCGCCGGGAGGAGGTGGAGTCTTCTGTGCAGTGGTGCTGTTTTGTGCCTCAAATCGAGCGAAGAAGACGTTCATCTTGTTCAAAAGGGAGATGTTGCTGTCACAGGTCCGCGGTGGGGGCTTGTAGTCTGTAATGGTCTGTATCCCCTGCCACAGGCTCTGAGTGTCTCTGCTGTCGCTGAAATGATGGGCTATCCTCCTGGAGTACTGTCTTTTTGCCTCTCTGATGCCGCGGGAAAGGTTGGCCCTAGCTGTCTTCAAGCCCACCTCATCTCCAGCTCTGAAGGCAGCGTTCCGCGTCTTCAGGAGTCCGTAGACCTCTCCTGTTAGCCACGGCTTCTGGTTGGCCCGGACAGTGATGGTCTTTGTGACTGTTACATCATCAATGCACTTGGTGATGTAGGCTTTCTATTCAGAAAAAGAATCCTGTGGTTTCCACAAAAAATATTAAACTGCACAAATAAAAATAAGAAATGTTTCTTGAGCTCCAAATGATTTCCGAAGGACTTCTGTAAGACTGTATGAGTAACGGCTGTTGAAAATTCAACTTTGACATCACAGGAACAAATTAGATCTTAAAAATATATTACAATAAAAAAAAAACTTATTTTAAATTGTAAAAAATATTTTATTGTATTTTTTATTTTAAATGTAGCCTTGGTGAGCATAAAAGACTTCTTTCGAAACAAAAATTCTTACTGAACCCAAACATTTGAATGGTAGTGTATAATGACAACAAAAGATTGTTATTCCTTATATATTGCATTTACATATTTCTCACTTGCTTCTTTTCTTATCTAGCCTTTTGTGGAAACGCTTAAATTATTATTAGTTAAATAATAAGCCCTTAAAAACCATTGTTCCCTCTGGATTTTTATTGCCATCTGGAATGTTTGGGAATGCTGTACTCCTGTCAATGGGAATGATGGGATGTACCTGGAATCTGGGCCTTGTTCCATTTAATGCTGTTATTATATACATTAATTGGCTGTTATTTTGCTGTACCTTGCAATACCTTAGAGAAAGAACCTCAATCAGCCGTTTCAGAGTCTAGTGGATGGCAGGTATGAAAGAGTTCCAGATGGCGAAGGCAAACATATTTCCCTTGATTCCTGTATGTTTGTGTCAAGACTGACACTGCTTTGGAGTATAGGGTCTTTTCCTCACTCTTGAATGCTGTGGTTTCCTGATTGTGGTTTTCTTTTTGTCAGTAATTGGTACTTAGGAATATTAGGGTGATGTTATGACTTCATGTTTGCTTATGTCTCTGTTCTTTGAGCAGGCGCAGTGTGCCAGTGATACGTCCCCACTCTTGGCACTTGGCGAAGCTGTCAGAGGCACCCTGCACTACGGGCACTGGTGACCCCTCAGATGGCCCCCCGGCTATGCAGCTCCACTTCACACCTCTCAGTGTACCTTGGCACTCCGGAGGTGACAATAGGTTGGTATAATAATCGTCATACAGATGATGGAAACATACCTTATTCTGTATGATGATTAATTTCTTTTTAGCATTTCAGTGGTTTAAATTGATATAGATATAATTTGCAACGTGTACATTACACTAATAGCTTTAACTGATCTTTGTGTGTGCACGGGAGAGAGAGATAGATCTCATTGTTGAATTAGGGAATTTTGCTTCCAGCAAATTTCACAAGGAAAACAATCAGAGAGGAAGCTAGTGATCTTATGTCAACATGTGGCTCACAGGATGCCACCACTATTTTCAGACGTATGACTCAGACATTCTTCACAGATCACCAGCAAAGTGACCAAAAACACACAAGAAAACCTGTAGTACAAAACATAGCATTGACCTAAGGGACTAATCTTTAACTTTCAACTTCAACATTAATGTTTGTTTTTAGGGGAGTTGTTCTTCAGTGTATTTCCGCTGAAACTGTGAAACCTAATCACAACACCTGTAACACAAAATGAAAAGGCCTAGGCCTATATGATTATCAATTTAAAATAAAATAATCATAAAACTAATAATTTGAGACAAATAGTTAGCACATACAGGTTTGTTTGTTTTTCATTTATGCTGAGGTCTTTTTATTTTAAATTATGGAAAATTAGGCTTTTAATAGGAATACACTGTTTTTAGTTCTTTTCGTTTTTTATTGAATTTAGTTATATTTAGTTTTTTTATTGAACTGAATACTCTAAATGTGATTTCAAAATACTTCCTTGAAATCATTGCCATCTTGCATTATATGTGGCAAGAGACACTTTGTAGACTGAAGCTTTTGCTCAGTTGCTAAAGGAATTTTACAAGCCAAATACAAATTTCAAAACAGCACTTCATAATTTGATACTGAAATTCCAAGCTGACAGTAAAAAAAATTTAGTACTTTTTGTAAGCAATCTTTGAAATCCTTATGGTGATTGTCACATCGTCTAACTTGGTTCACTTCTGTTTCGTTGTGCAGTGAGCTGTCCATGCAGTGGGGCCATATCTCCAGGCACTACAGCACAGACCGCAGTAGCTCAATAGGAAGTATGGAGAGTCTGGAGAATCCTCCCAACCAGGGTTACTATGACAGTCAGCTCTCTCCCATTGATCCTGTCATCTTCAACAACAAACGTGACTCCGCTTACAGCTCATTCTCAGCCAGCTCAAACACATCTGATTACACTGTCCCCGTCAAGCCTGAGGATACCAACTCTATGGACAGTCTTCTCCAGGGTTTTGGTTCTCCCTGCAGGTATCCAGACAGAGGCCAACATTGTGCCCCCAGTGGCCATGGAAACCAGCAGGAAGAGCGTGGACACTCCAAGATACTGTCTGACAGAACTGAGGCTAAAGTCCGACCATCGTCCTATAGTTGTGAGGAGGAACACTGTGCGCCACCGCAGCCACCCATGAGGAAGGACAGTTTTAGGGCTACTAGAGGACAACCAACAGATAAACGCTGTGTGTCTGCTCCTGTAGGCATCCCAAGTGTAACCAGCTGCATGGTTGAAGATCGATCCCAAATCCAGGAAGTTCTGACTGGTAGTGTTTATTTGAATGGAACACAAGACAATGAGCAAGAACGTAAAGGATGCACTATAGAACCTTATTACACCTTCAACTCCAAGACAGACTCTGAAGGAAATAGCAAGGCAACTGGCTGTGAGAAAAAACACTTGGAGAGCTATTCAGAATCTGTGGTGGCATCTACACCTCCTCTCAGTCCCTTTTCACAAAGGAATATGGATGAGAACTTTGATGCCCAACCAGAACGTAATATCCAGTCAGCAATGCACAGACACAGTGCACCTGAGAAACTTCTAGCTTCTCAGCTGCATATGATGGATTTTACTGGTGACAAAAATGATAATCGTGCATCTCCAACTTGTCAGTGGTCACAGTCACCTCTTTATCTGAGTGATACTAGTCCAAATATGGCCCAGGCCAAGTGGGGAGTGAATAGATGTTCCACACCTGGTTCAGTGGCAACATCCGAACTTGAGGATCCTCTAGATTCTGGACAGAATCTCTGGGGGCAGCCCAGTAATGTCTCTGGAAATCCCATGGAGAATGGATTCTCCACTGCTAACTCTCAGACCAGTGAGAAGAACTTTGGGTTTGTAGGTGCTAACGTGTGTGTGGACACTCACCTGAATGAGAATGGGCGAGAAGTGAGGGTAGATGATGGTAGCGTCACAAAGCAGTTGCAGAAACGTCAGTTCCGTAGCTCCAAGTCACGACGTAGAAGTGAGCGTTTTGCCACAAACCTCAGAAATGAGATCCAGAGGAAGAAGGCCCAGCTGCAGAAGAGCAGAAACCCTTGTGGTGAGGAGACTGTGGAAGAAGAGGTTGCAGATCTCAACATGGAGGCAGTAGCTCCTCCAGAGCACCATCAACCCAGACCCCAAACCTTTTCAAGTCCTCTTACCAGTCCTCCGACTATCCAAATATCCGAACGGACACCTCAACAAGATGCAACCCAAGTTGAGGAACATTCCAGAACCAGGACTGTGTGCTTCCAGACATCTCAGGCCCAAACCCAGATCCCTCAAAATGCCAGACAAGTGTGTGTGCATGTGGTGGAGGAGATAGCACCTGCAGGTAAACCACGGAGATGGCGCTGGACACCAGAATACAAGCTTCAACCAGAAACTGAGCCCTCGGAGATTAAGAGAAATGAGGCTACTGCACAGATGTGGTCTGGGAAAATGGGATCAACAAGAGGGAGGGCAGGTTCCTCCAGTAGTCGCTTGGGTCGATCGGACGAGTGTGATATCCCTCCCTTTGCAGACCGCAGGAGGTTTTTTGAAGAGACTAGCAGAAAGTTGAGTCAGTCTGTAACAAACTTGTCAAGCCTGACAAGTCGAAATCAGAGACTAGAGAAGCCGAGTAGACCGAACCATCCATCCTCACCTGAACCTCTTGAAATGGCCACTAACCTGGGCCGGAGGAGGTTTTCGTATCAAGGTGTGCCCTACGTCAACTCACTGGACACTGGGAGACAGTTTATGAGTACCCAACAAGACCAAGAAAAATTGAGGAAGAGGCTGGTAGAGAGAGAGCAGGAAAAAGAAAGAGAGCAAGAGAGAGTCACGGAGCAAGAGAAACTTCGAGAACAAGAGAGGGAGAAGGAAAGATTAAGGAAAGAGAGGGAAAAAGAGCAACAAAGGGTAAAAGACTGGGAGGAGAGGCAAAGACTGCTGCAGAGAGAACAAGAAAGGGAATCCAGGAGAGAAACTGTTCATTCTGAACACAATATGAGCAGTGACATGGTTCCTCAGTCTTTATCTCACGATCCCTGTCGGAAACAGCCGCCCAGTCCTCAGGTTCCTTCCTCTCTGCAGTCCTCTGAGCATTTCTATAGCAACACTACCACCAACATCCAAAAGCCTTGCTCAGCGTTCCACCCAGTGACCACCCAGCACAATCAGTATGATGACTACCAAGTGAATCCACCCTACAAGGCCAGGAGCTACACCCCAGCTGAGGTAAGATTAGGAATTTAGCAATGTTCATTGTCTAAAACAAGGATTGTGAAGCTTTTCTGATCCAGGCTCTCAGTCAACCCAGGGTACCACTAATATAAAAAATATTATTAAAAATAATATACCACTGTAGCAAACATTATTACAAAATACTGAATTAACGTTGGCGTAGTTTTGCTATATACCTGCTTTTAAATACTCTGCCATGTCCTAGGTTTAGTGTGCCACTGTATTGTCCAGCAGACAGCAACTTCATGGACCCCCAGGGGGTCTGCTGAATCATGTTTGGGGCAAAAACATTAGGTAGCTGTATGTCTTTAGTCAAGTGATTATTGAAAGAAAATTTAACAGATATTAGCCACATAGCAAGTACTGGGGGAATACCTTATTGATGCAAATGTCATAGTATGCACTATATATATCTTTGCAAAATGGAGACATTGTTATTAAATTATTTATGCAAGTAAGAGCTTTCCTCCTGCAGTTCACTGTCAAATAACAGCCTCATAAATTCATAATGAATAGCCTGTACATTCGCTTATAATGAATAGCGAATATTTCCAATACAGATGGAAATCAAACTTTGCTGCTTGATTATATAGAAGAGGGTGTGATTTCCTTTCTTTATTGTGGTTGTTTACAGTTCTAGGCTCTTAGAAACTAAACGATAAGTCCTTACAAACACATTTTGTAAAGTCATTGAACCACTTTATATTTCTGTTAAATCATTTTGAATTGAAAATATCCTGCTTTATTGGAGCCAGTAAGGTATATCTGTTATCTGTCAAATATTATATATCTTTGTGCATTGATCTTTCTGCACACTGTTGGAATAGAATAAGGATTAAACTGTTTATTCTCTACTTGAGCTGTTATTTTAAGACTCTTTGGTGTCTCTTTGGCCATGTAGATGGGAATGAGACTTTTGAGTCTTTAGTGCAGACTTATTTTAATATTAGCATTCATGCAGGATATCTTGAAATTTGGGTCCCAAAAGGCCAGATGTTGGCCAGAACTGTATAAAAACTATGAATTGGCTATAATATAACTGGAAGATTGAATATGTATTCCATCGTACAGGGTGTCCGCGGTGTACAACCACAATACAAACTCTAATTTCATCTCTTCATGGCCTAATTCCAAAGGACTTAATACATCCAAAAACAAAGTTCAAATTAACTGGACTGATGTTAAACAGTCCGCACATTTAAAGTATCTTTTCATTTTTTTAATTATTTCAAATATCAGTATTTGTCATAGCAAAGTCCGAATTGACACTTTTTTTAATTTTTTTTAGAAATAGCCTTTGTGCACAGCCAGCTTTGTACTCTTCTAGGTTAAAAAAAACTGTCGTCCATAAAATGCGTTGCACAAATTCGAACATCTGGGTTGTGCTGTTCTGTTGTAAATAAATCTTAACCAATGATTCCTAATTGCATCTACTTCCGAAAGGCCAAATAAAGTGCTTTTGCTTTCGCACTGAAACACAGCGTCTCCCTGACATGGCTGCATCAACACGACTGCTGTTCCTGAAACCACGCCTTCTTTCTTTGCGTGCACATTTGGGCGGCATTATGCTAATATTTCCACATAGTGACGTAGATATGTGGGGGCGTGTTAGAACGAGCTGTTTTAGGTAGGCGTGGTTGACTCTTAACTTTTATAAAGAATATCTCTTTGGATTTGAGACTTTAGTCTTTGCAACTTTACAGATCTTCTTAATGCACCAAGAGCTTGTAACACTCCAAAGAGAAAGGAAAACTTGAAATCGCATCATATGACCCCTTTAAGAGTTTCATCTTAAAACATGAATTGATCATTTAAATGATCTATGAGCCATTTTTGGTCCTTCAATGTGTTTAGATCTTTTAGACCTTTTTTAATCCTTGAGGGCAAATTCAGGTGAATTCAAGAGGCAATTTTCCTTGTAGTGGAATTCAGCCCATGTCCACTGGATGAGAATCAGAGATACTATTCACTGTACTGACTCCCCTTACAGTTCTCTGAACAGAATGATTTTGAACGGTATCAATTATTTTGGCAGTTATCAGATATTTTGCTCATGGTGTGCTTTAAAAAATCTGGGCTATGGCACAACAGCCGTGGGAATGAACCGGTATTTGTATGGTTACTTAAGCTGTACCTCTGTAGTACCCCTTTGAAAGAGGCACTTAAATGCCAGGGTTTTTAAGATCACCTACAGAAGGTTGTTTCAGATGCCCCAAATGCTAAATAACAAGTCAGTAGACAGGTGTAAATGTAGTTACATAAATCACCAGTATAGTGTTATTATCTATTTACCTAGTTGCCTTTTTTTAGTAGTAGGTTTGGGTAAAAATCTACAACACAATTTTCTTTTCTGTTAATTTTTTTTTAATTATATTTTATTTATTGTTTAATTTATATTTTATATTTAAATATATTGCAAAAATATTTTACAGGCCCACCCTGTGCAGGAACAGGAACAAGCAAAAAAACTAAACAGAAATTTCAGCTTAACAGCGGGGTAAGATTTCTGTTTTTAACTCAAGTCTCAATAGATTTACTTGCTGCTATTGCCCATTTTGCATGTGTTTTACTCATTTACGTATGGCTATTAACAAGACATTACTTACAAGAAGTATAGCATAATATTTCTTATTCCACAGGGACTACTCAAGGTGTAGGAGAGACTCCAAGACAGGAGAGGGTGCTGCTGTTCCTAGCTTCATGGGTCAATGTGGCAACATGACAGGTGGCTGCACTGAGGATCATCTTTTTTCACCCCTTAGAAACCGTGCTATGTCAGAAAATGACATTCGTGTGGACACACAAAATTTTCATAATCACACCAACGTCACGCCAAGCAGAATGCGCGCGTCCACTCTTAGTGACCTGGATGAGAATGGAGTATGTGTCGGTGATGTAAAGAAGAAAAAAGGGCCTCCACCTCCTCGTCCACCGCCCCCGAAATGGGATCAGTTCCACAAGAGACGGGCATCCCACCATAACCTCTTCTCCTCCCCACCACTCTATAACTCTACCTCTTCCTCTCCACCTCGACCACAGCCGTGCACATCCCAGCCCCCCAGTGTGTCTGAAATGACACGTCAGCGCTCCTATAGTCTTCCTCTGAGGGAGGTCTCAGAGAGCCATCGCTGCTGCGGTCAAGAGTACTCTGTGGCTCCCCCCAGCCCTGCTTTTACGCGTCGGGCCTTTAAACCTGTAGCCCTGCCCCCAAGAGAGAGAGACATGAGGAGAGAACTTCATCAACCTTTGCCGCAGCCTGAACCATGCACAAGGTAAAAACATACCTTCCAAACCCCCACACATGACATATAAGACTTATTCATGGTATTCCTATTGATTTCATATGGTTTTAACTAACCATTTTCAATAATTTTTTACATTTAATGACTCAAAAATCTTTGTGATGAATCCATTAAATAAAAAGTAAAAACATATTAACTTTATACTTTGAATACATGAGAGAACACATCTTAAAAATCAAAATGTTTTTTTACTACGTTGATTAGACCACAATACATTTTGTTTTTTGAATATTAATAACAAGTAAAAAGTTTCTAAAATAATAATGATTATGGCAAGCTACTAAAGGTTTTCTTTCCAAGATTTTTTTTTTCATTATGATATCAGGACACTGATACTTCATACTTCATTATGAAATCAAGACACTTTTTTTTATCCTGAATTTTTTGTTTGACTTCATGCCAAAAAATATCAAAATTAATTTAATTCAGAGATTTGGTATGGTTAAGTAATTGTATGTTCAGTTCTTTTCAAAATTATGTGGTTGGTAAGAATTTGTAATGTTTAAAAAAAAATGTGTGTCTGATGCTCACCAAGGCTGCATTTAATTTATTAAAAATACAAAAAAACAGTAATATTGTGAAATATTATTATAATTTAAATAACTCTTTTCTATTTTAATATATTTTAAAAAGAATTTCTTGTGATGACAAAGCTGAATTTTCAGCATCATTACTACACTGTGACATGATCCTTAAGAAATCATTCTAATATGCTGATTTGTTGCTCAAGAAACATTTCTTATTATTATCAGTGTTGTAAATAGTTATGCTGCTAAATATGTTTGTGGAAATGGTTATATATTTTTTTATATAACCAGAATTTTATATAATCAGAATTTTTGATGAATAGAAAGTTCAAAAGAACAGCATATATATTTAAATACAATTGTAACATTATAAATGTCTGTACTGTTCCTTTGGTCGAATTTATGCATCCTTACTGAATAAAATAAAAAACATCTTACTGACCCTAAACTTTTGAATGGTAGTGAATAAATTCCATTTTTAATGTACTTTTGAATAAACTACCTTCATGTCTGCCCTATTTTAGAATACCTGTCCACAATGCTGCAGTATCAGATGAGCCTAGAGTCACACTGGTGAAGCCCATCTTTTCTGAGCATCGAGCTGAGTGGGACCGCTCCAGTCCTCACTACCATGCACGGGGCACTACCAGGTCTCATGAAGTCCCAAAGAACAGTTTGTCAACTGGACCCGTGTGTCCCAGATCCTACTTCTCCGTGAACAACTACCACTTGCAGCCCTATCAAGCAGGCTTCCCTGGAACGGTTTACAAAAACCAGCTTATTTCCTCCCGCAGTCCTAACAGTATTGAAGATGGAAACCAGCCCCTAGAGACAGACATAGATGAGATCAGTGAGAATGAGCGGTTAGGAAAAATTGACAGAAGGGAAGGAGAGGACAGGATGGAGATGCAGGGATTTGCTCGACCAGTTCTAGTGCTGGAGACAGACATTGACAACATGCCTAAGGAAGGGGCTCCTTCAGCGAGAAACATTAGAGGGCCGAGGGGCGCTTTGGTGGACTCCATTCTAGAGGATGATTATGGTTTATCTAGGAAAGAGCTGATAGGAGAGTTATTTCCACTCAGTGTAAATAAAGAGATGGGTGGAGAGAGCTGGAGAGGAGGCCACCCAATCAGCGGAGGAACACTAGAGAGGTACACCAATATAATACTGTTTCAGACTTTCTGCTTCAAAATGTTATGCTTTAATCAATGTGTTACTTGCCGTTTCTTTATAATTATTTTTTATTTGCACTTTCTGAGTGAAACTAAATTCTACATGAATTGTCAGTGTATTCTATTCTGTTCTATCAGAAAGATTGTAACAGTGCCTCCATCTTCACCGCCATTATTTTGCTCCTGAATGATCCATGACTCTTTCCTAGGCCTGCTAGACTGGGAACATCCACAGTACAAGTTTCACGATCAGCCTGTTATGACATGTCAGCTGACAACCCGCAACTTCTTGCCAGGTTTCGAGAGATCTCAGAGAGGAAAGAGGAGGAGGAAGAACTCAATTATAAGGTGAAAGATTCAGAAATGTATGGCTCGATTATTTCATGCTAGGGATGCACAATATTGGATTTTTGCCAATATCCGATATGCCGATAATTTTCGATTAATTTTGGCCGATAGCCAATGCCATACCGATATATAATTATTTTTAATTTTGGTTAGTTTTAACAATAACTTATTTGTTAGAATTAAATAAATAATAATGAAGTATTGAAGTACTTTTATAATGACAGTACATTTAAGATTTGAAAATAACTATAAATAAACTATATATTAATCACTGCATTTTTTTTTTTTTAGAAAGATGCAGAGGTAACCTTAACATTATATTTTATGATTTAACATTTGTAAATGGTCTAAAGCAAAAGAGTTGTACAAATTCTGAAAATCTTTTAGAGCTCATAATTTGTTTAAAAAATATAACACTTGATATTACAATATTAAACATGATTAAACATAATGAATAAATCAGTATATATAAAATTATTTAATTTAAGTGTCATGTTTGTTGCTTTCATGCTTTCATTTGATTAGAAGTAGGCCAACAGCGCCCCCTACGGAATTAATACTCTTTACCGAGCGGGCATTAGGACCCGGGGGAGGCTGCCCCTGCTGCTGTTACACTACCGTTTACTCTATCACACACTGAACACCTTGTTCTGTTCATGCATTCTCCATTTAAATAGGGCGATCCAAAACAGTGAATCCAATCACCATTCAGGCAAAACTTTGCTTCAAGAATTAGCCACAATGCTGAATTAATGTATTCCTCTTATCTGCAAGACATATCGGCATAATTTTTCATATCGGGCCGATACTGATATTTACATTTAAAGCCATTATCGGCCGATTCCGATATTGGTCCCATAATATCATGCATACCTATTTCATGCTTTGTAATTTATTCCTATGATGGAATAATAGAGACTAGGCTCAGTTTTCAGCAGCCTTTACACCAGTCTTCAGTGTCACATGATCTTTCAGAAACCATTCTAATATGCTGATTTGGTGAACAAGTAACTTTTTTATTATTATCGGTGTTGAAAATAGTTGAGCTGCTTAATATTTTTGTGGAAACCGTGATACATGTTTTTTTTTTCAGGATTCTTTGATGAATAGAAAGTTGAAAAGAACTGCATTTATTTAAAAATAAAAATCATTGGTAACACTGTCTTTACAGTCACTTTTGATCAATTGCTCAATGTCCTTGCTGATTAAATGTATTAATTTCTTAAATGAATGAAAAAAAAAAAAAACTACTGACCCCAAATTTTTATATATATATATAAAATTATATATATATATATATGCCACTTCTCATAGTAAATGTTTACACTTACAGAAGCAGCTGATGGAGAGCCTTCGTAAAAAGTTGGGTGTCCTTCGTGAGGCACAGAGGGGCCTGCAAGAAGATATTCGTGCCAACGCTCAGCTGGGAGAGGAGGTGGAGAGCCTGGTGCTCGCTATCTGCAAGCCCAACGAGGTGGACAAGTACCGTATGTTCATCGGTGACCTAGACAAGGTGACCAGTCTGCTGTTGTCTCTTTCTGGGAGACTGATACGGGTAGAAAGTGCCTTGGACTGTGTGGACCCAGAGACTGGCCACCAGGAGAGGGTGAGGAGAGAAATATCATTGTAAAATGTAAACTATATTATCACCCAGCGATATATGAAACTTTGGATATATAATACATCCACCTTCATCTGCATACATACAGTATAGACCTCAAGTCAGGTTAGATGACATATTGAATTGAACGTGGATGAAAATGAGGCCGTGAGAGATAGGCGTACTGTCTTTACAATGGCATGCACTCTATGAAGGTCCTCACAACTTTCAAAACTGTCCTAAGGAGTCTGTCTGTCTGCTGAAAGTTTTTCTTTTCATCAGTTGAACAATCAGTATGTCGTTAAACAACAGTATAATCCATTGAACACACTGTACACACTGTAGGGTAACATCATATGTCATTTTTGACAGGAAACGAGACTGAGGGACAGAAGTACAGTGTGTTCAATGGACAGACAGACTCCTTAGGACAGTTTTGAAAGTTGTTTTGTTTTGTTTTGAAAGGTTTTGATCCACTTCAAATATTGACTACTATAGACCTTAGTCAGGGTAGACTAAGGTCTATAGTAGTCAATATTTGAAGTGGATCAAAACCTTTCATCAAAGTTGTCCTAAGACATGAACGCTTTTAGGTTTTAGGACAACTTTGATGAAAGGTTTTGATCCACTTCAAATGTTGACTACTAGTGTATACTTGCGTATAGCAATATAAAGTATAATATATAGCAAATCTCAACTGCGTGATTGCTAGTATCTTTGCAAAATGTAAATTGTATTTGTTGCCCAGCTCCAATCTGCAAAATTTGACTATAATTCATGAAGATAGCTTCATAAACATCATATTTGACATAATATTTTTTTCCTGTAAAGTGGCTTTAAAATAATGTGTATTGTAAAAAGCACTATACACATAAATTAGACCTTGAGTTTTTATCCTTCTGCATGTTTGATTTGCTTACCATTTTATTCTTATTCTCTCTGTCATGTCAGCTACAACTTCTGGAAAAGAAGAAGCAGCTGCTGGTGCAGATGGGAGAGGCTCAGGAGCTCAAGGAGCACGTGGACCGGCGTGAGCAGGCAGTTGGCAAGGTGCTGGACTGTTGCCTGACCCCAGAACAGTTGCGTGACTACAGTCACTTTGTGAAGATGAAAGCAGCCCTACTGGTAGAGCAGAGGCAACTGGATGACAAGATCAGGCTCGGTGATGAGCAGCTCAGGGGACTTCGAGAGAGCCTCGGCCTGGGGCTGGGAGTCGGGATGGGGTACGGACAATACTGAAAAGTGCTGAATGAGTGTATGTATAACGGGATTTGAGATGCACCGAAAAAACCTTGAACTGCAGTATGTTTTAAAGAAAGGACATTACATTGACGTGGCAGTTGAATACAGAAAAGCACAACTATCACAGACTAATGTTCAGTTCAATTCGAAAACACTACATCACTACTTGAAGTTGTCTGTTAGGACTTCAGCTGCACTAACAACCTTTTGGGAAAGTTTTGTTTTTTTTTTTGCTTCTGACACCACCAAAGAACTCATGTGTGCATATACTTATCATTGAATACAATTAGGGGAGTGTCCATGCACTGCTATTTATTTATTTATGTGTGTATATATTCATACACACAATATATATAAATATCTTTCATTCTGGTTTTAAGGTCAAATTGCTTTAATAATTTACAGCCTCACATTGCATGTATTCAATTTAATTCCGTTCTTTGGCATGGTAAACGTTATTGTTCTGTTTAAGATGTTTTGTTTTGTTAAGTATTTGTATGAAAACATGTACATAGTGGATGCCTAAAGTGCATCTTTAAGTCACAGAAGTTTCATTCTGTCATAACTGGAACTTTTCTTAAACAAAATTGTGTGGCGTATTATTGCAGCGTTTTCAAAAGGGGCCATTTATATTTACTTTTCTTATTCAGTATGCTTTATAGTACTTGCTACACTTTTCTCAGATAATTATTGTTGCCAAAGTTAAAAATTTATGTCTACGTAAGAATATAAATGTGCTGTGCCTGTTTTGAGAAATGACATGCATAAATGTCTTGAGAAGATCAGCCTTGCTTTACCAAAGCTCTTATATTGACATGTTTTTGAATAAGAGTTTTTAGTTAAATGAGATGCACTGTTTAACCCTTATGTATCATCTCGCAACATGGCAACTTTTGAGGCGATTGCTACTAGATTTCCTTTTCTTTGTGAGAAACTGGACATTTCTTTAGAAGGAAGGAGAATGCTGCTTCGTTGACCATTTACTGCCTTGAAAGTCTTGTCTTTTTTTAAAAATAGCAAAACAAGGAGCTTGAGATGAAGATTAAGGAGAGACAAAGAAGAGTGAGATAAAGTTCATTTGTATTTGAAGGGCTTGTAGTACAGGAACAAGGAATGAATGTATGTATTTGGTTTCAAAATTGCAGATCAAAAATGTAAATGTGCATTTGTGCCTATTTTTTATTTTATTTTTTGCTTCACTTTGTATAAAATGTATAGTTTAATAACTATAAACTACTCTTGTTCATTTTGTTGTATCATACATTGTAAACAGCATAGTGCTGAAGATGAAAGGAAATACTTGGTCTATTGATAATTTTCCTCTTGTATTATTTTATTTTATTTTTTTGATTGAAAAGATTCATTGTAAAACATGTACAATTAAAACAATATATTATCAGGGTTATGCCTTTGCTTTTTCTTCAAGAAAGTTCATTCTTTGGAATTTTTTTTTGTTTTTTTGTTTTTTTAAAAGAGTGTTGTGTTTGAGACTTGCTCTGTGCTTTGGCATGTTATTCCAAAACTAAACAATATTTTGCCAATTCATTGATCAACCGACTAAGGAGTTAAGTCTTTTTAAAAATACATTACCAACATACTGATTGATTGTGACAAAAATATTTAACATTGTTTTAACATTAATTAATCATTCTCATGTTTGAGGTGTGATTAATAGCTTGTCGAAACGTTACGTAATTAATAATTAACAAGGGTGTTGATTGGATAGAAGGCAGTGCCAAGGTGACCAATAGCTTGTAACACTCCAATGAGAAAGGAAAAATTGAAATCGCATCATATGACCCCTTTAACTATTTGGCGGGAAACGTAGAAGTCGAAACACGCACGCATTCTGTTTTCTACTCTTTACTTCTTCAGTGCTGGTTTACAATAGGCTAACGTTACGTGATGTCTGGCTTTGTACGAGCACTCAAAAGCACAAGATTTACACCCAAACAAAATGTCTTAACCCAGCGTTTCTACATTACCTCTACATCTGCAAAAAGCAGAGTCGGCGCTGTGGTAAGTTCAACAGATAGTGAAGGAAAGTAGCAAACTCCGAGTGATTTCCACAAATCGGTTCTTTCGAACGGTTTTAAAATGCTCAGATCTCTTACGTAATTACATAGTACATAGTGTACACCTGTTCAAGTTGCTTTTTGGGTAGGTAAAGTTTTATTAGGAGTGTTTCCATTTATAAGTATCACATCTCTTCACATTGTTGTAGACATGGTTCACCTAATTTAGAAGAACCTATGCGTTTAACTTTTTGTTTCTCAAGTCTCATTAAACGTTAATTGCTCAAACTGTTATAAGTCTTTTGCAATGCATTTTATAAACGTTCTGCTATTCGGGAGTGTTCGAGTTTCGGTTTAATATGACGCTGACTCGAAATGAGGGAACTGTGCTTGGATTCAATCCACCTCGTGAACGAATCGGGTTTTTTGAAGCTGCTCAACTGATTCATTAGGCTGCATCCGAAAACTTGGGCAGCTGACTTGCTGCCTCGCCACCCTACGAGGCAATGACTTTGCAGGCAGCGTTTTTGCACGAAGGCACCTCATGAAACTGATCATCAAAGGCAGCGATTGACAGTCAGCGGGTGTTGCAGTGCATCAGTCCAAAAGAAGTTAAATAAAAAGTGTCTCACACAGCTCCGGGCGGTGAACAAAGTCCTCCTGTAGCGAATCGATGTGTTTTTGTAAGAAAAATAACCATATTTAAAACGTAATAATCAATTTAATCTAGCTTGCGCTCACTGTTGTACATGGAAGCATCTCCGGGTGGATGACGTATGAGGTCAGCACTGCGCATGCACCGCTCAGAAGTGACAAATGCGGAAGCGCAGCGGAGAGATCAAAACAAAACAACGGTCACTAATTAGAAGTACAAAACGAGGATTTGTAAAGAAGAATGTTGGAGGATTTCGATATAAGCCAAGAGGAGACTGGTTTTCCTTTGCTAAAGTAAGGAAACTTTGCTTCCTTTGCTCCTGTTAACAAACGTTGGTTTTCACGAGACTCACCGGCGCATGCGCAACACTGACCTCATACGTCATCTGCCCGGAACTGCTTCTGTGTACAACAGTGAGCGCAAGCTAAATTAAAGTGATTATTACGTTTTGAATATGGATATTTTTCTTACAAAAACGCATCGATTCGCTACAGGAGGCCTTTGTTCACCCCCCGGAGCCGTGAGACACTTTTTCTTATGGATGGGCGCTTTTTATTTAACTTCTTTTGGACTGATGCACTGCAACACCTGCGGAGTGCCATTAAACAGCTCGAAAGATCAAAGACCATTTTTAATATAACTCCGACTGGATTCGTCTGAAAGAAGTCGTATACACCTAGGATGACTTGAGGGTAATTTATGGGCTAATTTTCATTTTTGGGTGAACTGACCCTTTAAGACTAGCAACGTGCACTAACAAAATAAATATTGTAAATGTTAACCATGCGGACTTTAAACTCATTCGCGAGTCGGATATATTGAATGCATCCACAATGATTGCTTTGGCAATATTGTATATTCGTATATTCTTGCCCCCACACTTGTAGGAGAGTGTACTTGTGATGGCCTTTATCTCGATTGCTGTCCTTGGTCTTGCTGGATGGATCCTGTCCAACTCCTGTGACTCCCACAGAAAACGGCCATGATGGAGAAGGATGCCTACATACTAATTATCAGACACCTCTTTATAGTGTAGTGGATTGAGTTATACATGATGATGATTGTTATACTTTTTACCCAAACCTACTTCAAGTAGCCATCAATCTACTCCAGGTGTAGTTAGTTTGGTAAATGAATGTAAATTGAGCACTTAAATCATTGTGCTGTCTGAGATTAAAACCAATTTACGTAATGCTGGTTTATTATTTTCTTGTTACTGGTTTGGATCCACTTCTGAATTGTAAAATGATTTCTGAAACCACAAATGGACTTCAGTCAAGTGAGGTGTAAATCCCTTTAATAAAACTCATGAAAGGCAGTGTAACAAAAGAAAAACACTAAAAGCAAGTTGATAACATTTACAACCACAAAAAACCTACTGTACAACCGTAATGCTGCAGTTTGATGCAGAGTCAGTTTTTAAGAGATTAAGAGCTTTAAGTTCTGTTTGCACTGAAAACAAATCTCATTCATTTTGTAATGTGGGAAGAACTGAAGTGAAAACTTTAAGATTAATCATAGCATAGCATCGCATACACATGTATGACTCAACCTGGCTGTAGAACTGGGATGGTTTCTTCACAATGGAACCACAGAATATACAGAGTATCACTTATACAGTATGTCATAGTGGCCTGGGCGGTAGAGCAGGAAGATGCGTGGCTCACTCCCTTCAGGGAAGACATGATTGTTCACTGTTCCACCCTCTCCTCTGTCCATGTATTCCACTAATATGGGCACATTCAGTGCTTTTGCCAAGGCAATGATATGGATGTGGTCGCTCTCTTTCGACATGGGTTCCACCTCCTAAAAAGCAAAACATGGATGATTAGAAGGTTTTTTTTTTTTTACTTAAATTTTTCCCATAGTCTTAGACAAACCAGTTCACAAGTAATACTCTTAGGTGGCACTCACCTGCTGGCAAAACTCTTTGACAGAACGGCTGCCCTCTATGAAGTGCTTAAAGAACACATGTTCCCGCTGCAGGTATCCAGAGGTGAGAAGCCTCAGGTAAACCACTATGTAGTCAGACACACTCTGGTCATTGAAGGAGCTCAGCAGTTCACCAAGTGATTGCTGCTTTTCACACAGCTCAATCAAGTCCATGAACTGACAAAAGAGAGAAACCACAGTGAGCATAATTTTAATGTACAATTACAGGACTTAAAGGGGTAATTCACTGCTTACAAGGTAAAAGATAAAAGTTGGCTGTGTATGCAGTAGAATTTTTTTTTTTTTAAATCTACAGAAAACAGAAAAATGACCGTGGTGAAAAAATGTACAAAAACTTAAACAACCATAATGCAGCACTGGGGCATAGTTGATCAGACTATTTGTGAGCAGGGATACAAAAATGCAGAAGTATGATCTGTAGTTTTCACAAAATCTGTCAAAGCTGTCAAATGTCTGCTAGATGATGCATTTTACATCTACACAAAAAAATACACAGGGATGTCTTGGTCCTGGTAACTCGGAAACATAAAACACATTGTTCATTTACTTATACTATGAGAGTTGGGGTACTTGTACTCATACTTGACATGAACTTGGACATTTTGGACATTTTTTTTTTAATTAGTCAAATACATGCTTTATGTGAAAGATCATTCAATTAAGATGACAAGACATTAATAATAATCTTCCACTCAAACTTAATTGGTTACAGACTCGGACTCAAAGCTATATACTACTGACATTGTAACAATACAACTTACCCTTTAAGTGTTGAGTTCTAAAATTAAGAAGGCATGTCAATTGGGCATAGTTTTTAACTGAAACAATTATCAACTCACAGTGTTGTGAAAGTCCTCGATAGTGAACTCAGTGAAGCCCTGGTTTACAAGGTCCAGTTTGCTCTTAGCTGCAACAGCTTTAAACCTATAGCGCCAAAATTGAGACAGGTCTGGTGCTTAATCATTCACTACAATGACAAAGACAAATGAATTATAAAATGGAACTTTGCATAAAAAAGGATGCTGCTATCTCCTGAATTAGTTTAACTATTCCAAGCAAAAGCAATGGTATCTGCATTAGGCACCCAAATCCAACAGTACACTACCTTTGCAGCTCTTTGCTGTCATCCAGTAGTGACTCCAAATGTGCAAAGCCAAAAGCTCTGTAGAAACAATTTCCATCCGGCCGTGTCTTTCGAACATAGGAATACTTTTTTTGAAGGTCCTATGAACAAGATGTAAGAATAACAGTTTTACAGAAGGTTTCAGGCACTTACTACGTATAAAGTAAGGTTGCGAAAATGTAGCGACCTTTATCTTGAGCTGGTAAATGCTGTCTTCTGCAGCATATTCACCCTGAAGCACAGAGAGATCTTGTCTGTCCGA